ATATGATCTCTAATATCAATCGATAGTGTATCTAATATGAAAATATAAAGGTTTTGGGTGTGCAGGGCCGTGGCATACCTGTGGGCCAGAATATGATACCATGTGAGATGACTCTCTGCAAATACCTCCAGGCATAGAACCTGTGTTGTCAGAGCACCTTTACCCACCGAGCCATCTCACCAGCACTGTGCTTAAAATTAAAAAACAAAACAAAACAAAACAAAAAAAACCTTACAGTGTCTAGCTAAGGATTTAAAACAGATCCTTGAGTGTAGTGGCATCTTGCCTTGACAGTGAACTTCTAAGTATTTAAACCCCGCCTTCACTTGACATGATGACTCAAAATGTCTAAGAAATAAAACTCTTACATGAAACAAGAGGATATGACCCTCTCCTGGTAGCTGGGATTCATTCTGTGATGGTCCAGATAGAATAAGGTTTGAACATCGAAAGATGTTGAGACAGAAGGAGGGCATCAAACATTTAGAAGCATCAGGAGAACTTACAGGAGGAAAAATAAAGTATGGGGCAAATGACAAGTAGGAAACAAGGTATGAGGCCATAGAGGCTCAAAGACAAGCACACCGTAAGCCACAGTGTACAAGAAAGAAAGGAAGCACTCTGGGTCTGCTGTGGGCTTAAGAACTTGTGGTCTGTCATGGTTCCTCCCAAATTCTTCCATTGAAACCTACCCTGAGGTGATGTTACTGAGCAGAGCGCCTGTAGAGAATTGGTTCCCTTAGGCTTTTGTAAAGGAAGTATAAGAAAGGGTTGGGGACATCACATAGTAGTGGCCTGGCTTTCTAGCATATGCTCCAAAACCCTCAGTTCTAACCCCATTGAGAGAGGGCAGAGACAGAGACAGAGAAGAGACACAGAGACAGACCAGAGAGCTACCTTGCCCTTCCCACCATGCAAGGATACCGGGGGAAGTGCGCTTGCCCTGAAGGAAGTGGCCCTCACCCGATGGAATCTGCTACCCTGACCTTGGATATCCAACTCTAGACCTCTGACAAATAAACGCCTGTGGTTGCACAAAGTCCCTTCTCTCTTTTATTCGGCTATAGAAACCAGGAATAGACTTAGACAGTGGTGGGCATGCAGGAAGAAAGCCCAGCTCTGAGGCTGGCTTCCTAGCCCAGTCCATGCTCCTTGGGCCAGCCGCTACACTCCCCTTTGTCTTAGCACATTCTCCTATGACATGAGGGGATAATCATAGTATCTGCCTCACAGGTGTTAGAAATCAAACAAGCAAAAGTAGCTGTGTTAACTAGGAAGCTACTACTGAGTTTAGAGGTGGGGTTATAAAAGATCTGAGCCAGGTACTAAAGATAATGATGGGGAGTATGGGGGGAAAGATACTGGGCAGTATAGGATGGCAGGCACGTGAGACACGTTTGGCCAAATTACGAGCTGTGGTAAGAATGATGGGCTTCTGTGAATAGGAAGGTTTGTCAGAATGTAGGTGTGAATCAAGGAGATGGTTGGTGACATAACCAACCCAAACACCTCAACCTCTTGGGAACAGGCCCCTTTTAACACCTTTGGCATTGAGTTCTGCAACACAGTGAACACTCAGTAATACGCAGCTACCAGCCCAGGTGTTGCTGCCTGTGAAGTCCTGCCAGGACCTCTTATGATTATGTATTTTCCATTGTCAAGTAAACACTGCTTAAGGCACTAGTGAGGTACACTTCTGTGTGTGTGACTCTGAGAACCCTTCCAGAGAGAATGTCAGCTGGCTAGGGATGATCTGTCCTGAATGTGGCCTGCACCATCATCCGCTCTGTGGTCTTGGACTGAATGAAAGAGAACAAGGAGAAAGCAGCTCAGGGTCAGCATGCCTAGACCCACACGGATATGAGCAAGGAGCCCCTGGCTCCAGTTGCTATAACCAGGAACTGCCCCTGCAGCCAGGCCTTCCCAGACAAGGTGGACTATATGCTCACTTAACCGGGAGGAACCCTTCCTAGCTGGGGAGCAGGCCAACTTTGAGTTTTCCCTGAGGTTTTGCTGTGTGGAGAAGGAATGGAGTTCCAGCAATGGCCCGAGGCCAAGGCTTTGAGGAAGCTATGGCTTCTTTCTGAGAACTAACTCTTCCTACACTAAAAGGCTATGGTTGTTTGTCCTAAGGCTACTTGCTGTGTGCTAGGTCTGTGAAACACTTGAGATACTTGTATTCCCCTCATGTAATATCCCTTGATTAGCTTCCTGCCAACTTTGCTGACACTGTCACATATTTTTCCTTTCAGGAAAACTGTAAGATGCTATATTGTAGCAAACTTGGTCGGCATAAGACATAGCTTGTGCAAGATCTACCGACCCCGTCCTTCCCCTACCCTCTGTCCGCTTCATCCTCTGGCCATTCCCCTTAGCACCCTTTCACTGAAGAATGACCTGCTAGTCCAAGTCATTTCCTCTCTTGAGTTGCTGCCTATCAAGTATTTGGTCACAACAGCTTAATGGTACCCGACTATTAGAGGCCTCGTCCTTGCTCTTCATGACAAGGATTCTTCCTCAGGAAGGTATGAGACTTCATCCCTGTTGACAACATTTGGGTCTCACAACTTTGAAAGTGATCACACCTTTCCAATAAAAATTGAATACCCTGGAATCCAGATGTGAGAGGAAGGAGTGATAAGAAAATGGGGACAAGACCAGGCCACGAAACAGACAGCTGACCTGAACAAGGGGGAGCTCATGGACCCCCAGACTGATAGCTGGGAAACCAGCATTATACCAACACAGACACCCTGAACTTGGGATCTCACTTAGAAGGCCTGGGCAGTCTAAGGGACCTCTGACAGTGGAACCGGGATGTATTCCTGGTGAACAAAAGGACTTTGGGAGCACATTCCCCATGCAGGGATTCTCCCCTAACCTAGAGGCAGGAGGAGGGGCCTAGTCCCTACTCCAAATGACAGATTGTGTTGATCCCTCCTGGAAGGCCATCACCCTCCCTGTGGAGTGGACGGGGGGGGGGGGGGGGGGGGGGAATGGGATGGGAGGGGAGTCAGGGGGCATGGGAGGGTGGGAGGGTGGGAGAGAGGGAGGGATGAATAGGTGGAGGGAGGGAGAGAGAACTGGGATGGATATGTAAAATAAGAAAATAACAATAATGATAATAAAAAGAACATGCATATTCAGGAAAAACAGAATTAAGCTACCAGTTGAAATTAGTGCCTTTAATTCCAACACTAGGGAGGAAGAGGCAGGCAGACTTCTGTGAGTCTGAGGCTAACCTGGTCTTACAGAGTGAGTTCCAGGGAAGCCAGGACTGCTACATGGAGAAACCCTGTCTTGAAAAACCAACCAACCGCAACAAACAAACAAAGAGAAAGAATTAAGTTACCTACAAACCCAGAGCTATGGAAAAGCATAGAATCAGCACTGAGCAGCCTCAGAAGGGCAGAGAAAGCACATTATATGACGGCTAATATGTGAGCATCCAAAGGTTAGTTAACTGAAGTATGTGTGTGTGTGTGTGGGGGGGGGTGCCCTGAGCATAACAGTTTATATACTTAGAGAAGGCAATTTTCTGTAAATACCTCAGCTATTGAGCTTATGAGAAATGGTTCTTTTTTAAAGGCTAGATATCCCCTGCTGCTGCATCTCTGGCCTGATGTAGGGGAGCAGCTATCAGAGACAAGCCAGGGTAAAGGTGCCTGGAGGGTCATATGCCCCACCTCCCTCTAATCAGAGTGGAAAAGAACCAGGCACTGGGGAGACCTCCCTGGAAGAGAAGTCTTGGCCCTGGGGTCACTTGGCAGAGGCTCAACCCCCGGTGAGTACTTGTAATCCCTCACCCATTAATGTTTCCTAGCACTTGCCAATTTTTCATTGCATTTCTAATACAGCTACCATTAGCCTGCTCTCAGGCAGCCTGCCTCCACAGGGTTGAGGGTGTCTGTCTTTCCTTGTAGATTCCCAGGCTTGCTCTTCCAGCCTAATTAAACTGTTGATTCCACCTTAGTCTCCATTTCACCCAACTCAACGTTTATGGAGGCCAGTGCCTCGATAAATGTTCAAAAGCATCTGGAATTACTGTCTTCCATATTTGGGCCTCAGTTCCATTCTTTCCTGGTCATCCATATTGTCTAGGATGGTGTACTTGGTTTTTCTTCCATATCTTAGTCCTTTTCCGTCTGAAAGAAACAACAAAACAAATGCTCAGAATGGAACCTGGGATCTTTCCCACCTAACTAAAGGGTTCACCTGAAACTTAGGCGCTGGAGTTCCTTTAACCAATGTTCACCTGCATACAGCCCAGGCAGCTTTTTCCCCACAAGTAATGCCTCACTCAGAAAGATGTGGGTGAGCAAGATTCCCTCAAATCAGTGAGTGCTAACCAAAAATGCCCAGAAACAGGACTGAAGCCAACAGCCAGAGAGAGGGGCCCATGGAAGAAGTGATAAGACAGTTAAACCCTACAATTGTCTTAGAAACAACTTTCATTTTTCCCCACAAAATATAAAACTGGCTGCCCCTTGGTGTCTCATGTTAAGTCACAAAGCATGGCTCAAAAACATTCATTAAAACTACACTAAATTCAGGAAGCAGATCTCCATGAGTTTGAGACCAGCCTGATCTACATAGCAAGTCCCAGAACCAGGGAAAAGTAGTGAGACACTGTCTCAAAACAGACAAACCACTACAGTAAGGCAGTCACCTTGTTCTGATCATGTCGCTAAGAGCAAGGGTTTCTCACTCTCACTCAGTGCTTGCTAGCTGGAGACTTAGCGAATGTCACTTAAGACTTCTGTGTCCCATGCCCTGGCTTCCAGAAGAGTCCCTTTCTCCTGTGGTTGCTGGGGGGGCCAAATACAACACTACAGTCAAAGTCGTCACTGAATCAAAATGGCAAATGCTGAGTAGCTATTCAAGGTCAGCACCATGCACTTGTCATACACAACCCTGAGATGTGAGTGTTTAAAGCCACATTCAGTAGGGGACCCTCTCCCCCCACGTGAGTCTGAGTGCTTAATGAGTTTGGGCCTCTTTCTAAGGTGTTGTCTTTCCTGCCATACCCACTGCTGGGAATGCAATCACAAGTAAAATTCAAACAAATTAAGGGTAACTTATGGAAACATCCCATCTTTAGATAACAGAGTGCTTTGTATCAGAAAATGAGCTACTGTCTTCTGACGTCTAGTGATATCTTTTCTTACAATCTCCTCATGAGGGCTGAGCATGGGGTCCGGGAGACTCTTACACTGAGGCAGCCCAAGGGATTCTCGAAGTCCTTTCCTTTGGTGAAAAATACGAGGAAAAATCTAAATCAAAAGTTCCCTTGCCTCTCTTCAAGTTTTAGGTGACTAAAGGATTCCAGTTGTTGCTTCCTATAACCAAGTCTACAAATTAGACCCACACATTTCTAAACTATCTTTCTCTACTGACAATCAGAGGTTAGACAATGTTAGACAATCAGAGGTTACTATTAGATTTGGGGGGCAGTGATTTGGCTGAGGGACTGAGTACTACTTAGTGAATGCAAGATACTAGGTTCAATTCCTAAAGGTGAGCGTGTCAATGAGTAAAAGCTTTCTCCAGAGGTGATCCATTTACTTAGATGCACATGCCTGGAAGGATAAAGTGCATCATACCATGCCCATGAAGTCCAGTTTGTTTTAAAAAAAACTGGCTGTCAGTTAAGCAGTAAGACAAACCCCAAAGATACAAGCCCAAAGCTGTTCACGACCCCAGTAAAGAGCCTTCTTTTTCCCAAACTGATAATCACATTAGGTACCTCCTGCAGCAGCAAACGCACAGCCAAGTCACTGCTCCAGTTACCACTGTCAGGGTCAATGCCAATGCTGCCACATAGAATACACTCCACTCTGCAAAACAAGAAGACAGAGCGTGCAATGATAAACCATTTGCTAATCAGCTTTATTCTGACAACTCTCAATAAGTCTATCTGAGCAGAGGCCAGCTGTGATGCTGGGATCACTATGTAGGGCAGGAAACAGAGCCTAGCCAGGTGCCATGCAAATTGAAACAATAGACTAATGACTTTGTCTATTTGGTTGAAGGACCTCATGAAGCACATAACTCAGGGACCTCAGGCACATAGTTCAGGCTAACTTGAGAGCAGGAAACCCAAAGTAGCTGAAGCAAATCAGTGAAGCAACTCTGCATCCTACATATAAATATGTGAAATATTAACATTCTAGAATTCCGAGAATCATAACCTTCCTTCCTAAAAGGTCTGTATGGTATTTTCCTCCTCTTCCTTCTCCTCTCTCTTCTCCTTCTCTCCTCCTCGACATTCCCAGTGCTGGGATTATGGATGTGCACCCAGCGCTTGGTTTTATGTGGTGCTGGGGATAAAGTTTTGAGTGTGCTAGGCAAGCACTCTACCTACTAAGCTATATTCCCAAACCCATGGCATGGTCTTATAAAGCAAGTCAAGTGTCTGCTTGTTGCCTGTGGCATGAAGATATCTATCAAGGTCAATTTTGGAACTACTCTTTATTCCTTCTACATCCTAAGCTTTACAGTAATAACTTAGGGTCATATGCCAATGGGTGCCCAAGACAATGGCACATGCTTTTAATCCAGCACTTGGAACACAGAGGCAGGCAGATCTCCGTGAGTTCTAGACCAGCCTGGTCTACATAAAGAGCTCTAAAGAGCTCCAGGACAACAAGGACAACATAGAGGCCCAGTCTCCAAAAAAAAAACAAAACAAAACAAAACAAAAAAAAAACAAAAACAAAAACAAAAAACAAAAACAAACAAACAAACAAAAAAAACCAAATCACCAATGAGACAGAGACTCATACTTAACCTGATTAAATATCATGCCATCTCCCTAGAATAGCAGCCTGAAGCTGGCTCATTTCTGATGTTTGTAGAGAGTTAAAGAACATGACATGGCAGGTAGCTCTTAACATTTTTCTGACATTTATGTCCATCTGGACCCCCAAAATGGCAAATTTATTCTTAGGAATAAACTGCCATGAAAATACAGTTTTCTAGCTGAGTGTGCTGACTCAGACAAGTAATCCCAGCACTTAAAAGGTGGAAGCAAAAAGATCAGGGTTCAAAGGTTATCTTCTGCTGTGTAGAAAATTCAGAGTTAGAGAAAAATCAGGCTGTATAATAAATTGCATATAAATTTATTATATATGCTTGCTATAGAGTTTATATTTTGTTTTTATGTGTTGAGTGTGTGTGTGTGTGTGTGTGTGTGTGTGTGTGTGTGTGTGTGTGATTTTCTCCCCAAAGAGATTGGGCAATGGGGCAAGATTGTGATTTCTGTGGCTGGTACCTGCTTGGGCTAACTCCTAGCAGTTTGGGCCACATTTCCCATTTTGTATTTTCCCAGTTAGGGGCTATACGATCTTAAGTTTCCAGCATCCTAAGCCATGGCACATATAATCTGGGGCAGAAATCTCAAAGCAATTGTTTCTTAGCACTGCCCTGCCAAATCTATCTCTTAGGAGGTATTGCAGATAAGTTTCTGGAGACAGATTGGTAAGAATGGGGTTGGGCCAGGTGTATGTGGTGCATGCCTTTAGTCCCAGCACTCAGGAGGCAGAGGCAGGCAGATTTCTGTGAGTTCGAGGCCAGCTTGATGTACAAGAGCTGGTTCCAGGACAGCTTCTAAAGCCACAGAGAAACCCAGTCTCGAAAAAACCAAAAGGAAAACACAAAAAAACAAAAGAATGGGGTAGGATGGTTCTAGATGCTAAGCCAGGGAAAGATGAGTGTCTTCAAGAACAGCACCAGAAGCCATCACACACACACACACACACACACACACACACACACACACACACACGCACACGCACACACCACACACACAATCACACACACACACACTACTCACCACAGTTGCTTTCGCCATCCCACATATAACGCTGTATGAGGTTCTCCATCCACAGATGGGAGCAAATGCAGCGTTTTGTGATGGGGTCACAGTGACCATGACCTGAACACTTCGAGAAGGCATCCTGTAAGGGGTGCAGAGATGAGATCATCATGGACAAAAGGAGGTCCCCAGGTTTCCCCTTCCATAGTGGAAGCCCAGAAGTCTCTTAAGAAGCTGAGAATGCTGACACACACCTTTCATCCCTGTACTCAGAAGACAGAGGCAGGTGAATCTCTGAGTTCAAAGCCGGCCGGGTGTGGTAGTTTGAAGAAAATGGCCCCCAAAGGGAGTGACACTATTAGAAGTTGTGGCCTTTTTGGAGTAGGTGTGGTCTTATTGGAGGAAGTGTGTCACTGTGGAGGTAGGCTTTGGGATCATATATATGCTCAAACCATGTCCATTGTTTCAGATCACTTCCTGTTGCCTGTGAGTCAAGATGTAAGAACCCTCAGGTCCCTCTCAGGTCCCTCTCCAGCCCCCATGTCTGCCTGCACACTGCCATACTCCCAGCTGCCATGCTCCCCACCATGACAATGATGGAGTGAATTTCTGAACTGTTAGCAACCACCTCAGTTAAATGCTTTCCTTTGTAAGAGTTAACATGGTCATAGTGTCTCTTCCTAGCTGATCCACAAAGTGAGTTCCAGGACAGCCAGAGCTACACAGAGAAGCCCCATCTTGAAAAAACAAAACAAAACAACATCTCTTATAAGTCAAGCACCTAAAATCCTAGCACTCAGGAGGCTGAAGCAGGAAGACTGCAGCAAGTTTGAAGCTAGTCTCAGCTACACAGCCATCACTAGGACAGTCAGGACAACATGGTAAGACCCTATCTCAACCCTCATCACTACCACAACAGTAGCATAAACTCTCACCATGCAACAGCTCATCAGGAAGCAAGTTTAGGGAAAAGCCAATCCATGCCATAGTAAGAGCCTTAACGTTTACCAAGACAATGAACTAAGAAATGCGCAATGGGAACAATTGGGAGTGCACAGTGGTGTGTCTTTATTGTAACACTATTTAAAAACATCCCTACAGTCCACAGGCCAGAAGAGTAGTTGTGTGATTACAGAACACATCCAGGGAGGGAAACCAAGCAGCCATGAATGTCTCATGGAAAAGACATTCTAAAGGGTTTGGGGAAGTAATAATAGTATGAATAAAGCTTAAAGACACATTACAAGGGCTATGATTTAACTCAGTTGTAGAGCCCTTTGCCTAACATATATAAGACACTAGATTAAGTCTCCAGAAACTACACAACTACACACACACACATAAACATGCTAAAAACACCAAATTATCATGATTGCATTATATTTCCTAAAGATGGAGCAACTTGGAAGAAATACATTAGAATAGTAGCATAACGAAAGTTATGTCTAGGCAACAGGAACTCTAAACTCTACAAACAATACAAACAAGAGGATTGCTTTCTTCTTTGTCCTTTTGGGATAGTTCAGATTTTCTACAATAAATAAATCACTGCTTTGAGCACTTAGAAAAACAAAAGATTCTACTTTAAAAAAAAAAAAACAATCAAATTACCAAATTACTCCATATTATGAATGAGAAAGTAGACTAACAATTCAACTAACAGTATCAATTGTAGATTAACACATATCTGAAACAAATTAAATTTGTGCAAACATTATCATATTCTGGTAACTGAGATGACTACTCCATTAACATTTACTGGTGATGAAGACTGGACCATGGAACTACAAATCAGTTTGATATCCTAAAGGGACAAGCATAGCTTTAAAAAAAGTGTGGTTACTACTGGAAGACACATATAAGCTTAAATTGACAGAAGAAATTTTTGAAACAATGATGTATGACACTACTGTTCTCCGGTTTCTTTCCAAAACAAGAGTAGTTGGCAAATATGTCACAGAAAACCTACTGGAGAAATAAATGCAGAGTCCTGTGGATGGGTGGGGGAGGGGATTGAAAGGAAAACACCTGTATAAGATACCATTCCTGTTTCTATTGTCAAATACCTGGATTTAAAAGCAAAGGCTCACAGTTCAGAGGAATACAGGCATGGCCACAAGACTGAGAGGCAGCTGGTCACATCGCTCTATAGTCAAGAAGGGGGGGGGGGGTGTAAGCAGGGAGAATAGTGGTGGGATTACTGAAGTAGGCTGGGCTAGAAAACCCAAGACCTGCCCCCAGGGGTTCATCTCCTTTAGCACAGCTTCACCTCTTAAGAGTTCCATAATCCTCCAAATAGTGTTCAAAGACACTATGGGGCTCATTGTACATTCAACCACAACAGTGTTTGTGTTGTGTCTATCAAACTCCCAGAACTGGCAAGTCTGATTTTGTTTTTAATTAGACTATTTCCATGGGAGACATACCTGCTGTGTCTATCCTCAAGACCTTGTAAAGTAGGAAGGCTGCCTTCTCCTTTGAAAGCCGCCTGTGCAGATTCCGGGCCACATCAGCAGCTCTGAAAACCTTGAAAGGTGGCCCGCTCTGTCATAAAATATAATCACAGTGCTGGAGAAGAGACAATGAGAGACGGTCACATGATTAGACAGTGGCTGGCTGGCACAATGTACCACCAAAGCCATCTGACTTGCAGCGCTGGCAAGGAGACCACTATAACTCTACAGTTTGTTCTTTCACTTAGCATCTTTTTAAGGTTCATCCATACGATTCATTTTTATTGTCAACTAATATTCCATTGTATGTATGTATATTTGTATGTGTGTAAATAATTTATATAATTTCTTTGTATTTGAGTGTACATGTGGAGGTCAAGGGTCAACTCTGGATGTCATTCCTCAGAAGCTATCCAGCTTGTTTTATGAAACAAGGTCTCTTTTTTTTTTTTTTTTTTTGAGACAGGGTTTTTCTGTGTAGCCCTGGCTATCTTAAACTTACTCTGTAAACTCTGCATGAGCCACCACCATCTGGATAACAGGGTCTTTCTTTAAAAAAAAAAAAAATTGTCTTCTTAACTGCATTTATTTCATGTGTGTGACAACATGTGTATCTGTGTACCACTTGTGTGCCTGGTGCCTGCAGAAGCCAGAAGAGGGCATCAGAATCCCTAGGATTGGAGTTACAGAGAGTTGTGAGCTTTCATGAGCTGTCATGTGGGTTCTGGGAAATAAACCCAGGTCTTCTGAAGGGCAGCCGGTGCTCTTTACTCCTGAGCCATCTTCGCAGACCCTGAGATAGGGTAGTAGGGCTCTGCATGAAACCCCAAGGCACCTTGAGCAAACCTGAAGATGTGGCTGGAACATCTTGTCCCAGAGTTGTTACTGGTACTCTGCCTGATTTGCTAACACACATCTTCTGGGGAGAAGCTAAGCCCAAGAATTTGTACACTTGACCTTTGATTGCTTTCCACTGTGCTGTGAGTCAGTAAATAAGCCCGCTCCTTCCCCTCAATAAATGGCATTTGGCATTCCAGCATTCCTGTTGCACGAATGACCCGCTGTCTTGTCTTTTATTTAAATCTCTAGGCCTTTGCCGGATTAGTGGAACAGATTGTAGCACAGGAACTGCACAGGGTCTTTCACTGGAGCCCTGGGGCTCACTGATGAGGCTAAACTGGATGGCCAGTGAGCTCCAAGGATCCCCATCCTTCGACTCCCAGTGCTGGACTTACTATGCACCACCCCAGTAGGCTGACTGAGAATATCCCCCATAGGCTCACATATTTGAACACAGTGGTCCCAGTTGGTAGTGCTGTCTGGGGATTGTGGGTGGTTCAGCCGTGCTGGAGGAAGTGCTTCAGTGAGGGCAGGCTGTGAGGGTTCACAGCCTGCTCCCACTCAGGTCACTCCTGCTTGTGGCTGAAGGTGTGGCTTCTCGGCTTCCTGCTCCTTCCATCATGGCTGCAGCTGGCTGTCATGCCTCTGACATGATAGACTCTTATCCCTGTAGAACTTTAAGCTCCAAATAGACCCTTTCTTCCAGAAATTGCTGTTTTGGTCATTGTATTTTTTCACAACAACAGGAAAGCTACTACTACAGCCACTACCATGCCCAGTTTGTCCCCCCCCCACACACACACACATTTATTTGCATTGGGGGGGTGGTGGTGCACACATGCCAAAGTCCATGCATGAGGTCAGAGGACAGTTTTCTCCTTCCACCATGTGGGTAGAACTCAGGTCATCAGGCCAGTAGCAGGTGCCTTTACTTGTTGAGTCATTTTGCTTGCCCTTGTCCAGTTTTTACTTCAATTCTGGGGATTAAACTCAGGGTCTTCATGCTGGCATAACAAAAAAAAAAACCTTAGTGCCTTAGCTATGTCCTCAATCCTCATATATCATTTCTATCCATTGATGGGCATTTAGGTTGTTTACACCCTAGCTGTCATAAATCTATGTCGTGACTATCCACATTTTTTTATGTGGATGTAAGTCTTTCATCCCCCTCAGTAATTACCTAGGTAGCTAAGTCTATAGCTATGGCTTTAGATTATAGCCATCTTATAGACAAGCAGCACACAGGTTTTAAAAACATAGTGTTTGTGTGTGTGTGTGTGTGTGTGTGTGTGTGCGCGCGCGCGCGGGTCTGTGTCTGTGTGTATATGTACATGTATGCATACACGTACATGTGCTCTAATGTACATGAGGAGAACTGAAGACAGCTGGTGAGAGTTGGTTCTCTCCCTCCACCATGTGAGCCCTGATGTTTGCACTCAGGTCTTCTGGCTTGGTGACAGGAAGTCCCACCTTGCTAAGACATCTTTTGGCCCTGGGAGTGGTTTTACTTGGCATTTTCTTCAACGCTATGGATGGTGAGCATTTTTCCATGTGCTGACTGGCACACCTACTCAGATCTGCATGAGTTTCCCAGGACTGTTGCAAACAAGTTCCACAGCTTAGTCACTGAAAACAACAGCAATCTCTTGTCTATAGGTTCTGGACAGCCAAAGCCTCAAATCAAAGTGCTGGCAGGATTATGCCCTCTGGCGCTCCATAGACAGATATGTTCCAGACCTTTCTCTCAGCTTACTTGGCATTTGTTGGCATCAGGCTTGTAGATGTATCACCACCTGTGTCTCTTTATGACCTGGCGTTCTTTTCATGTGCCTCCCTGCACGTGCAGGTGTGTGTTCAAAAGGTGTGCACATGCATGTTGGGGCCAGAGGTCTTCTCAGCACCAGCTTAAATACTTTCTTGTCCTTACATTCCCTCTGCCTAACAAATTAGTTTGTTAGCTTTAAATTCAGTTTCACTCAGGGTTTTAGGATATAGGCAGAATCAAGCCAGATTCTTGGAAAAATATCACTTGAATGGGCCCTATCCCAGGTCTGATAGAATCCTCATGAGCCATCTGTCTACTTTCATCTGTCCACTGTCCATCTGTCCATGCTTCCATCAGCATTCCCTGTCTTCTGAGCTTGCTTCCAACATTCTGGAGATTGCCTGCTCCAAACCCAAACTGTTCCAAATTCCTACACGTTCTTTCAACAAGCAAGTTCCAAAAGCCTATGAACCACATGGCCAAGTTTATCATAGCATTGTCCCTACTCCTAGTACCGATTTTCTGTCTAGGTTCTTTCCCTATTGCCATGGCAAAAGCATCTTAAGGGAGGATGGGTTTTGTTTGAGTTCACGGTTTGAGGAACCTGGCAGCAAGAACTTGAGGCAGCTGGTCATGCTGCATCCATAGTCATACAGCAAGAAATGATGAACAATTATGTTCATGTTCTCCTCTTTATACAGGCCAGGACCCTCTGCCCAGGGAATGGTGACACCTGTGCTGCATGACTCTTCCCATCTCAATAAAACCAACCAAAACAATCCTTCAACAGGCTTGTCCCAAGGGTCGTCATCTAGTTAATGTTTGAGATCAAGTTAACAAATGAGATTAACAGTCACAGCACGTAGTAGCCCAATATCTGGTACAAACTGTTTCCAACAGCCCTGACTAAGCCTATGCCTGCAGGAGCCAGAGGAATCCAATGTTACCTTTGCATTGTTGTCTCAAGGCATTTGTGAAGTGTAAGATGGCTAGTGTGTCATGTAAGTACAGTCTATACAACTGTTTGACAGACAGCCCTTTAGCCCAAGGCAATTAGAGAAAGTCCAACGCTTCCAAATAGGGGAATCAAATGGTCCTCCCACCCCTGGCATTTAAATTTACAGAAAGTAGAGCAGCAGGAGGGGTGGGTGCTTATAGCAAGGATTTCAAAATGTATTATTAACACTAATGATAATAGTGTTTAACAGCTGCTCAATATGCCAGAGGGGGTGAGACCCCTTTTACTGTCTAAACCAAAAAGTGTTTTCATCATGAAAAGATTCTGGACATTGTCAAAATCTTTCTCCATACTTACTGAGTCATTCTTTTATTTTTAAGATTTTGTTTTATTTTTAATTATGTAGATATGTCTCTCTCTCTCTCTCTCTCTCTCTCTCTCTCTGTGTGTGTGTGTGTGTGTGTGTGTGTGTGTGTGTGTGTAAGTTCCCATAGAGACCAGAAGACACCTTTGGAGTTATAAGAGTCTGTAAGCTGTCCACTTTGGGTACTGGGAAACACTGGTCCTCTGGAAGGATAGTACATATTCTTAATTACTGAGCAATCTCAAGGATGGGACACTTATGCACATGGCCCTGAGTCCCATCTGCAGCACCCTAATTAGTTAATTAGAATGTCTTCATTAGTCACTTTTCTAAATAAATAAATTGCAGTTCAATAGAAAACCAGCCCAGACAGATAGGCCAACAATAACTACAAAATGTACTTCCTGGAAATGGTGGGGTTTAATCACCCCATTCTTTCTATTCTCCTGCCCTACACTGGTGTTGGTTTGGTGGGCTTTAAAAATAAAACTTAATTAAATGCAAAAGTCTTGTAAGAATGGAAGGTTGAGTAAACTCCTTAAAGACAGTAAATGGGACTGAGCAATCTCTTGACACAGAGAAGTGTCTGCTCAAGACAACTTCCTCACCAGCCCCAGGCGATTTGCAGGCAGAGCAAAACTATCATCTCCTTTGACATTCCCGAACTCGCATTCAGAACATTCTCAATTCACAAACCTTTACCAGGATCTGAGGCGGGGCCTAAAATGACTTGTTCTTACTCTTGTCTTTGAGGATAACAATAAAAGAATATGAACATGATAAAAAATAAATAAGAAAGCAAGCAAGGAGAAAGACCTGGGAGAGAGCAGAAGAGGCCTGCAACAAATCTGACACCTGAGTGAGACATGGTGCTGGATAAATACTCATCCCTGACACCTGGGTGAAGCCCAGTGCTGGATAGGTGTAATCAGCATGGTGAAATTGCCTTTTAGACATGTGAAAACAGCTTAGTCAGAAACCCCACTACAATCAACCCAGTGACATCACTCACTCAAGATAACCAGACACAGTCCTAGGCTCCCTGACTCCCACTGGACAGCATGTAAGAAGAGACCAAAAGCAATGCTCTGCTCTGTACATCTGGAGAGATGCTGCCTTGATCTGCTCTGAGGCAGGAGATCCTGACCCTCGACTCAGAGACTTCTGTTAGAGGTTGGATCTGCCCTCCAGCTAAGATATGTCACACAGGTGGGCAGCCTGGGAGAGACAGGCTTAGGGCTGTAGTTAGGAATTTAGAGTGTGAACCTTATGTGATGACCCTTAGCATAAGAAAATATAACTTTTGTTATACCAACTGCTCGTATCCACCCACCTTCTTGCTTGAGACGGTAGTTATCATGGCTGATATCTGAGTGTCATGTGCTGGGCATGCATCTCCATACCTGACATCCGTGTGTGCCTGGACCTTGAGGACCTTCACATCAGAGTCTAGCACATTCAGGAGCATAGCCAACTGCCTCACCAGGGTTTCCTTCTGCTGTTCTGTCAGCCGCTCAACACCAACCTGAAGGATCAGCTCCACCAGGCCATCCTTCTTGGGGTCTGAGAGAGCAAAGACAGGAATTTCACCATGAGATCACAGGCTTGGTAACACAAGGAGTAGGGTCAGTAGAAGGGTTCAAAGCCAGACTGGGCTTGTGGCTCAGCAGAGGGTGCTGGCCCAGTGCCCACAGATGGTGAGTTTCATGTCCAGCACAGCAAAAGTAAGGTCAAAATATGATAATAAAAGTTTAAAGGAAGCATCTATCTATTACATTTAGCTCAGATCATTCTAAAACAGCAGAGAGGTGGGTATGGTAGTACACACCTACAGTACCAACACTTGGGACTGTGGGGGCAAGAAGGATCAGAAGTTCAAAGTCATCCTTACTGCACAGTGAGTTCCAGGCCAACCTGGGCTACATGAAACCCTCTCTTAGAGAGAGTCAGACAAGGACAGAGAGAAAAGTAAGTCCCAGGGAACACCATAGAAACAGCTCTGGAGTAATTTTCCCAATTTTATTCCACCTTGTTATCTAGTAGTTTTTCTCTCAAAAGACAACCAACTATACCTTTGAGATACACTGAAAAGTTGGTGCCTCACATGCTTCCCCAGCACCTGAGAACATTCTTTCCTGCTCATGGGTGCTACCTAGTCCAGTTTATTCTTAGTGTCCACCATGCCCACCTCACCGAGGCTCCCCCTCCCTCTACCTGACCATGTTCACTTCATGTTAAATCAGGAAAGCAAACTCTTCCTTCCAGATATAATTCTCATAATTCTCATTGATGATGCACAAACTGGGATCTGCTTGTGGTATAAAGAAAAGTATGGAACAATCCTAAAGCTGGTTGAGAGGTGGCTCTGTGAGTAAGAGCCTATACTGCTCTTAAAGAGGACCTGAGTTCAATTCCCAGCACCCAACACCCAGTGGTTCATAACTGCCTATAATACCAGTCCTAGAAGCTCTCACTCCTTCTTCTGGTCTCCAAGAACACCACATCCGTGTGCACAAAATCACACACACACAAAAACCACACAACTTTTAAAGAGTTCTACTATCAATTCATTGATGTGTTGTACTAGAGAAGGGAATGGAAGTAACCACATCTCCAAGCCGGCAGCATGCTGCTGGATGGCAGCATAGACCAAGGCACTGAGCACAGCTCTCAGTTCTGGCGGTAAAGGTGTCCACCGCCATCTTGGATAGACTTCTGAAACAACTGTGGCTTTCATTTTAGTAATGTTGTTGTTTACCAGATAAAAGACTCATGGCCAGAAAAATATAAAGATTTACAGTAAAGACAGATTCACATTAACAAAAAGCTAAAAGTTTACAGTATATTTTAAAATATACGTAGCCTTGGGAGAGAAAAAGAATAAAATGGTTTTAAAAAGACAGAGAGGAGCTGGATGTGGTGGCACATGCCCTTAATCCCAGCACTCAGGAGACAGAAGCAAGCAGATCTCTGTGATTGCAAAGTAAACCTGGTATGCAGAGTGAATTCCAGGACAGATAAAAGTTACACAGAAAAACCCTGTCTCAAAAAATGAAAAAAAATAGAAGTAAAAGAAACAGAGTAATAAAAAAGCCACATAAAGATGGAGAGAATCTGGATATTGTACGGTGTTATATTGTCTTTGTATCATTTTACTGCTGAGGAAATAACTACAACTGTTAAAACAAATGCTGCTGGATCAATCCAATTTATATATTTTAAAAATGCTTTGACTTCAAAATTTAAGTCTAAGAACAGGTTACTGGGGAAAATGATTTCTAGTTTTGTTTCCACAGAAAATAAAAAGCTATGGATTCCTTCCCAACTAACATGGTTTGATCAAGCAAGACCCCCTGAAGCAATGTCCATGGGACAATGCAGCCTTGCAGACCACTACAGCCAGGATTTCTGCATCTTCTTAGGATCCCCAATGACAGCGCCCCCTACCAGCAGGAAAAAGTTTGGAAAGAACGACACCCAAATTCCCAAATATTGTCTATAAATGTTTGTTTTCATTTATATGGGGTTGGTTATAAATGGTTAATGACCACAACCAATCTCTTTTTAAAGGTAAAAAGGGTATTATAGTATAGGTATGAATACTTTGTTTTGGAATGGAGTTTCATTTATTGATACAATTTAAGGTCAATTATGTTATACGTATATTTCTACTTTTGTTTAAGTATTGTGTTTATATAGTTAATTTAGAAATGTAATGTGTAATGTAGTACAGATTATAGATAATTACCTATGATAGTCAAAGCTTAGAGTTAAGTTAGTTAGGTTTTTCAAGATACACAGAGATGTATTTAAGATAGATAGGCATTCTTCAAACCTTTCAAAGACCTACAGAACATGGCATTTAAAATGGTTTAGGGTTTTTCTTGACAGTGAGACATAAATGCTCCTGGCAACACCACCTGCGTCAGAAAGGAAGATGGACATTGAAGAAATGTGTTATGAAGTTTACTTCCAATATGGCAAGACTAGCCATTTGGATAAGATACTGCCCTTGTCTGGACTGTTTGACTTTATGCTGTATAAACTGGACATGCAGGACCCACAGAAAATTGATTGCTGATTCAAGATGGACATTGCTACAGAGTTCCTGTTTCATGGAAGAGTCTGCTAGACAGTCTGCGGGACACAGAGAAAAGTGATTGATAAACTGCCAATACAAAAAGACAGTTTAAAGTTTCCTGCTTTGCTGAAGAGTCTTCCAGACACACTATGGCCTATGGGCTGAAGATGGAAGATTACAGAAAAACTTCAGGTGACTGACCAGGCAGTGAGTTGTCTCTGTCATTCCTAGAGTTTATATACTATCCTTCTGTGGTCTTTGAAGGAGTTGAAGACAGATAGTTATGGTTATAGTTTTCCTTAGTTAAGATTAAAGGTAAGTTACATATAGGACTTCAGACTCACAAAGATAGAATAGATGATGGAATATTTTCTTAAATCTTACTAAATGTTAATGGACTAAATATTGTTAACTGTGATTCTTATTTGTGTGATATATCTTGCTATGTTAAGGTTAAAACCCTTCTTTTTATTTAGACAGAAAAGAGGAGATGATGGGAGATGTCATTCTGTAAATATGTTTCTCATACTGGTTAATGAATAAAGCACTGTTGGCCAATAGGAAAGCAAAATAGGCAGGACTAGGAGACTAGGAGGATTCAAGGAAGTAGTAGGGAGGAGTCAGCATGTAGAGATTGGAGAGAGCAGACACCAGCCCTACTCTCCGGTAAAATGAGACCACGTGGAAATACTTAGATTAATAGAAATGGGTTAATACTTAAGACAGAGCTAGCCAATAAGAAACAAGTAACTGGCCAACAGCATTTATATCTAATATAATGTCTCTGTGTATTATTTGGGGCTGGCGCCGAGGTAGGTCCAGGCCAGCAGGAAAAACATACTCTTAACACACATACACATTTTTTTTTTTCATTAAAAAGAAAAAGGAAACCCCTAAGGTCAGGCTGGCCAAGAGCAGAAGCTAGATACAGAGGGCCACCTACCCCAGTGACATCGGCTCAGTACACACCTGGCAGGACCTCCACGGTGGCTGTGTCTGAGTCCGAGGCCCCTGACTGTCAGTGACTAGCAAATGAAAAGTGTAGACTCCTTCCACCAGATTGGTGAGCTGAAGAGCCACCTGGTTGTCGGGAGCCTCCGATGACATCCTGAGAAGTGAAGGGATCCACAGGGCAACAGTCAGTCTTGTACCCAGGCTCTGAGCCTCTTTGGAGCTCAGAGCTCTGAGTTTCTTGTTTTCAGGCGTATATAACTTATATGGCTGGGGTTGGGGAAGGTGGAGGGAAGGTTTAGAATCTTCAGCTCTTCCTTATGTAGAACAGCAGTGAGTACAAGAACCAAACAAGATGTGGTATACAGCTTCCCAGGAGTTACCAAATGATTCATTAACAGAGGGTGAGAACTTAGGTTGAAAGCCCCAGGGCAAAGCATGAAGTTTTGTAGTCTTATTTCTAATATAGTTTTATAATGCTCTCACCTCACATCCCCTCAAAGCTTATCATATCTACCTTCTCAAGTGACCCCAGAGCCTTGGTAGACAGACCACCTGTTTTATGGATCTGTAGATCCAAAGAGTGAGAGAGAAATCTTTTGGACTCTTTTGTCTGTACTTGCTGACCAGATGGGACAATGAAAAGTTAGGAATCTGAACTGAGACACACTGCAATTTCACTTAGAGGCTAATCTACCATCTATCTCTATAGAATTCATTCCAAAAGTACTTTAGAATGTACAAGGCATTTTCAGTCCCTTCCCTATGACCACACATTTGGTACATCTCCAAGAGTGCTTCTGTAGATCTCAAATCCTTAGCAATAGAAAAAAGGAAGATGTTTGGAAATTCACAATCTAAGAGGCAGAGTGAACCAACAGCTCCCAGAAGCTAAAAGTCTGGGTTTGTTTGGTTTATGACTGAGCTTGTTAGCCTTGGCCAACTCATGTTCCATATCTATATTTCACTCTCTGCCTCTGTGAAGTGGAACTGGAAATCCCATGCCTCTGGCATGCGTGGTACATGGAAGAATAAAGCTAAAATAAGAAGCTGAAGAGTAGAAGGGTCCCACTGGGAAGCTTGGCTTCCAAGTCTGTCATGGTGCCCAACCTTTTGACATTGTGACATAATGTTGTCATCTACAAATGTGTTAGGCTGCATTCACAGCTGTTCTAGGACACAAGAGACCTGGGTGCCGTGAGTGGGACACACCTGCATGGTTTGCTATCCTACCAAAAATCAGATTAGGAAGAGGACTGCAGCTTTGCTTAAACCTAATGGCAGCCTGATGTCCCCAGCCCTCATAATGTTCAAACCCAGAGGCCCACGAATCTTATTGGGGGAGATGACATGGTGTTCATGTGACTGATGTTCACACCCGAATCTGCAATGTGACCTAAAGTTAGAACTTTGAAGGAGGTAGTTGAAGTTGAGTGAGGTTGCAGGGGTGGAGCCTGCCCCACAGGACTGTCCTTACAAAAGAAACGCGAGAGCAATTCCCCACCTCTTTCCTGCTTTCTCACACTGCCACATGAAGACAGAGTAAGCAGGTGGCCACCCAGGACCCAGAAAGAGATCCCTCACCAAAGGGAAAACAGATTGGCACCTTGGTCCTGGTTTTCCCTTTAAGCCATCCTGCCTGCGGTCTTTTGTCACAGCTGACCACACTGACTAATCTGTATGCAGTGTACATGGCTGAGGGAGGTAGCACCCTTCAAGTACTCACGCCGGCAGCTGGACTCTGGCCATCCCTGATCCACAGATAGGACACAATCCCTCGGTCATCAGTGGACCGTGAACCATCCAAGGTAATGGAATTGTTGGGAAGCGTAAGAACATGTCTGCCACCAGCCTGGGCTCTGGGAGGACTATTATCTTCTAAGTCAGACAGCAAAAACAAAAGGAAAGAAACTGACTTAAAACACCATCGATGGCATAAAACACACACAACTGCTCCATCTTGTAGCCAAGGTTGTTTTAAATACCCCAAGGCATTATTTTCTGCCCCAAATACCTGTAAGATAAGATACAGATATTGAGCACCTCTCATTTCAATGGGAAGACAGACAAAATCAAGTAATTTGACTGAAAATTTTACAGTAAAAACTAACATAGAAGGCTAGGGCTATGCAGTAGTAAAGTGCTGGTCTAGCATGCCTGGAGCCCTCTGTCCAGTCCCTGTTGTCAAATAAAACCAGGCCTGATTCTGCATGCTTGTAATCCCATCAGTCCAGAGGATCAGGGGTTCAAAAACTTGTCTTTAAAAAAATGGGGCAAGAGGTATATAGGCCCATTAGATGGCTCAGTGGGTAATGATGCTTGTCACCAAGGGTGATGGTCCTACATGGTAATCACAGAGAACTGATTCCCTGAAAGTTGTCCTCCTACCTACACACAAACAACACACACACACACACACACACACACACACACACACTTTCATTGTGGCAAGCACATTCCCCCTCCTGCATATATACACACACACACAATAAATAAAAACATAATAAAAGGTTTTAAACTTCTACTTTAAAAAACAACGTAGATAACTTAAACATACTTCTGCTCTTGGGTTTTCAAGAAAGTAGAAAATAAAACACTGGCCAGAACTGGATCTCTCATGGCCAGGGTCACAGGAGAGTGAACTATTTTGCAAACAAAAGGACACTATTCCCTGCAGAGAATGTAGGCGCATGTCTTCCTGCTCTACACACTCCCTGAAGCCAGACAGGACTCAAAGGAAGTCAGTTGTCAGGAAGAAGGTTGGTCCCCTCTGGGCAAAGTTCAGTCAGCTGTGAACTCATGAGGTAACATCAACATTGCTGGGTAATTGTGAACTGGCCTGGGGACCTGGGTGGCAGAGCAGGCTCAGGTCCTGTCATCAAGTTCACTCACCCTTCTTCACAGCCACGGTGAGGGTGGATGTGCTGCTCAGTCCCTGCTGGTCTCTCACCGTTAAGCGGAAGTGGTAGGTACCCACCTGAAGCCCGGTGACAGTGGCTATGGCTTTGTCCACATTCTCCATCTCCACTGCACTGGGGCCTCTGTAAAACAGGGATGTTGTAGACAAAAGGTGGGCCATGAGATCTGTCCCCTAGCAAGTGCTTCTACTTCTGACTGTAGTGACCATCTGATCTTCTACAGAGTTCTAAGATAATTCTTCCTTCACACATGTTCTCTAGCTTGGCATGAGGGTCAAAGCTAAAGCCCATTTCAAACACAATATAATGGGGTCTGGGGAAAGAGATGTTCTTTCTTTTTTCATTTTTAATAGAGACACCACAGAAATGATCTCTCTTTAGAAAATTGAACCTTAGAAACTGCTCACTTTTTTTTTCTTCATATTTTTAGATCTGGTCTCACTATGTACTTGAACTCATGATGAGCTTTCTGGTCCAGCCTCCTAAGTGCTGAGATTACAGGTGGGCACTACCGTACCCAACCACCCATTTCTTCTTTGAATGAAACTTGACCTAGTCCTCATCTAGCTTCAAGGGGGGGGGTGTAGAAGAGGAAGGTGTGAGGCAGATGATTTGCCATTGGAGAGAGGATATTATGTCTAGTCATTAAGATCCTAGACATATGCAGTTTTGCATCTCCATGCAGCCTATTCCAGTGTAGATAACCTAAACTATTCGGTCGGCCTTGCTGGTTTCTTCAAGTCTGAGTTTTTCAACTTTAGAACGGAATGATCCAGCCCAGCATGGTGGCACATGCCTTCAATCCCAGCACTTGGGAAGTGGAGGATATTCAGAAGTAAGTGAATCTCTGTTGTGTGAGTGCCAGCCTGATCTATGAAGAGAGTCCCAGACTAGTCGGCACTACATGGTAAAACCCTGTCTCAAAATAAACAAACAAAAGAAATGGTAATGATACAGTTTCCTCTTCAGAAGTCATGTAGCAAAACAGGAAATGTTACAATATGAATTTCACCTTGAACTCTGCACGTCTGTTATACATAGTCACTGGAGCAGGTTGGGTGTAGACCACATATGGTCTACATCTCTTTCACCAGGACACTCACCCCACACCAAGCCAGCCCTGTCCACCTGTTCTGGGCTCCACTTCCCTCCAATGTCTATCTTTCTAAAACACTCTTCTCTTTTTGTTTGCTTGTTTGTTTGAGATGCAGAGAGGGGTCCTCACTATGTAGCTTAGGCTAGCCTTGAACTCAAGAGTTTCCTGCCTCAGCCTCTCAAGTGCAAGGGTTGCAAGCATGCAGCATCAAGCCTATAATGCATAATTTTTTCAATAAGGCTTAGTTACTCTTTGCTTCAACCATGACTCCTCAACAAGCTTGAGCTGCTGTTTAATATGGTCCTCCAGGGAAGGGATGCAGTCACTCGGCAGTGACCCAGACTCAGAGCTGGGTAGATACACTACCTGATGTGTTCCCAGTGGTAGCAGACAATGCCATGGTCATCACTGCTCCTGCTCCCATCCAGTGTAGCACTCTGCACGGGGAAGAACAGCTCCTTGTCAGGGCCTGCCACAGCCACCGGAGCCTGGTTGTTTTCTAGAATTACGGACATTCAAGAGAGGAAAGAAGAGAAGGAGGTTGGGAAGCAGGAAGGAGGGAGGAAGAAAAGAAGGACGGAGAGGAGGAAGGGAAGGAAAGAAGAAGAAAGGAGAGAAGGTGAGAGGGAGGAAAGGAATTTCGGGGGAAGTAAAAGGGAAAGAGGAAAGAAAGCGTGCAGGGGAGGCAAGAAATGAGGGGGAAGCAGAATCAGCGTTCACAGGCTCGCCCTCTTCTGCCTGCAGCCCCACTGGCTAGCACGGTACCTGCTAAATAGCAAATGTTGACAATACTTCAGTTGTGGGCTGGAGAGACCTGGATTCAATTTCCTGTACCCACATGGTAGCTCACAACAACTGAACTCTGTGACTTCAGTTCTGATATCTCCTTCTGGTCTTCACAGACAGTCATGCAAGCCAAACACCCATGCACATAAAAATAAATATTTTTAAAAGGGAAATATTTCAGTTGACAGTCAGGGGAAAGAAAAAGAAGTAAAATATCAGTCATGGTGATAGCTACGATTTCTGCTTAATAAATAAATAAATAAATAAATAAATAAATAGATAGATAGATAGATAGATAGATGCCCACATAGTCCAAGCCAAGAGTCACATAGCCACAGCCATTACCATCAGGATATAGTGTCTTTTTCCCACTGTCCTCCTCAATTTGCATAGTGGCTTCCTAATTTCCTAAGGGCAAACATATACAATGCCCTTAGTGAGAGCCCTACCCTTCTGTGGGCCATCTTATCCCAGTCCTGGTCCCCGAAGACCTAGTCCGATCTCTCTTTTCTCCCATCCCACCATTATTTTTAGTCCTTCAATGCACCAGGCCCCTTCCATCCTGTGGCTTCTGGGAATCTGGGCCCCTCTTTTTAAACATCTTTCTTCTTGCTGTCCACTCCCCATCCTTCTCCTCCTGATCACCTGCCATGGGTGTGTCAGCTGGGACTCAGTAAAAGCTGTTCATGGACTGAAGTGCTCTGTGAGTGCTCTTCATGTGGGCACCCGTCCTTACTGAAGAAAGCACCCGAATACTTTTGCCGTTTCACATGCACTTGCCACAGCCCTGGAAGGGGCACAGGACAGGCCCATCTTTTTAAATTCCATATCCCTAGGGTCTGGCTCAGAGCACCTTTTACATCTCAGCTGAATCAGTTAGTGAAAAAAACAAATCAGTTGTCTTTCAGCTGAGCCCATCAGTCAGGCTACTGGGTGATGGATATGGAGACAGTGAGCATTCTCAAGAGAAGTTTTGAAGCCAAGGCCATCATAAGCTGGTCTGGCTAGCTACCTGTGAGTCTACTGAAAGATACAGGTAGCAGAGCCCTAGTAAGAGACTAGTAAGCCGAGTGGAGTCTGGGTCAACCTCCAAGTGTCTGCTGCATCTGGGTGTCAGGCCACGTAGTCAGCCTGTGTCCCCCAGGACACCCTGAAACTTTCCTAATCTGAGTGTGACAGTCACAGGAGTTACTGTATGACAGATTAGAGACACATGTGGTGCTGACAGTGACTCTCATTTTGTCTTTTGTACCATGGTTTAGAGGCACGTGACAAGATGCAGAACCATGAAAGAAAACCAATTTTAAGCCATGCCACATCAGCTCTCATGTCCCTGATTTCCAGCCAGCTCAGGAATCTCAGGATGGTACCACCAAGTTAGACACATCTGAAGCTCAACAGTCTAGTTATCATTTCTGCTTTCCTCTCTGGGGTCAGATCTCATTTGTGTCTCACCTACCAGCCTGGACAATCACAGCCACCAAAGCAGTGGATTGCTGTCCTGAGGAATCTGTCACCATCAACTGAAACACATACTCTCCTTCCTGCATCTCAGACAAGTGGAGGTATGGGGTCTGTGCTCCCTACAAAAGAGCAAATGTGAAAAGGAAACAAAATGTAGATTATCATTAGAGAAGTCCAAGGAAACAATGTGCCATGACAGATGCTACTGGTTTCACTTAAAGCAGAGATCCTGCTTGAAAATAAGCCCAGCCCACTGTGGGTGGTGTCAACCCTAGGCAGATGGTTCTGAGTTATATGAGGAAATAGGCTGAGCAAACCCTAATGAGCAAATCTGTAAGCAGTGTACCTCTGTGGGCTCTGTTTCAGTTCCTGCCTTCTGGTTCCTGTCTTGAGTTTCTGACCTGACCTTTCCTCCCCTTTTGTTATGGTCTTTATCACAGCAACAGAAAGCAAACAAAGACTCTTGGGAAGCTGAAGCAAGAAAGTGGCAAATTCAAGGCCTGCCAGGGATACAGAGCAAGTTCAAAGCCAACCTATGTAATTTAGGAAGACCCTAGCTCAACTTTAAAAATATACAAAAAAAATATCTTTTTTTTTATCACTCAATGCCGGAGGTGCTTACCTAGTATACGTGAGGTTCTAGGCAGTGTGTGGAAAGACTAAAAGAAGGAAAGAAAGAGCAGGGTGTGGGATGCACGCCTTTAATCCTAGCACTGTGGAGGCAGAGGTAAGCAGAACTCTATGAGTTTGGGGCCAACCTGGTCTACCCAGCAAGCTCCAGGCCAGCCTGGACCACATAGTGAGATCCTGTCTCAAAAAGAGGGAGGGAAGGAGAAGAGGGAGAGTAGGAGGAAAGGAGAAAAGTAAAAACAGGTGTGAATCCAAGAACATGTAGTTTTGAGTCTGTTGTGTATCCTCAAGGCATTGAAGGAAACCTCTGGAACTCAATATAGCAGTGCTGGACATGGTCCAAGAATGGAGGTGTAAGGACATTCTTAGTGCTTGAGAGGAAACTCCAAGAAACCAAGACAAGAGTCTTGTGACCTCAGTTTCTTCAAAAATATGGAACTGTGTAGTGGATAGGTGTGAGTTTGCTTGAGATTATTCATTACAAGTGGGTATTGTTATTTGTTTATATGTCCATATTGGATAAACATGTTTTTGCCATAAACAGCTTTGTTCACCATGTTTGGCTTGCCCTGTGATTGAACACTTAACTCATGTCACTCCTGTTAAGAGTGTAAACTGTCTGATGCTCTGAATAACATTGCCTATTGCATGAGACTTTAGCCTGCCTCATTTATAGGCTTCATTTTCCCCAGGTCCCACAACTTCTAGAGCAGTAAACACAGCAGTATCTGCTATGGGGCATACAGAATAATAACTGCTTTTCTAATAATGTAGTTGGGTTAGTTGCTTCTAATCTTTCTCCCAAGACTAAATAAAATATTGGTCTAACAAACACTGAGTCCTTTTTTTTTTTTTTTTTTTTTCCCCCAACTGACCTCATGATCTAGTTGAAATACAGGACTAACTGCTTGGTTGCTGTTCTGTCTTTAGCTAGGAATGTGTGACAGCAAGGGATATAAACTTGGGGAAGACTTGTGAGTTAGGTGCTCTTCCAAATACTCCCTTAGTTTGAGAAATTTATAAAATAGATTTTATGATTTAACAACCCTACACCAAGAATAGATGAATGAATGATATATAAATGTTAGATAGATAGATTTAATGATATGATATGATATGATATAAGTCTGCAGGCAGGGTAGAGGACTTGCCTGCATGACCACCTCTTTGCTCTCACCGCCAGGGCCTGGGGACCACTCATAGAGGACAATCTGGTGATCATCACTGCTCTGGTTTCCATTCAGAGTGATGGTGTTTTGGGGCAAAGTTATAGTCTGATTTGGTCCTGCATTGGCAACAGGAGGGTAGTCCACAGCACCACGGATGATGAGGGTTGCTGTGGTGGAGTTAGTAGCACCATCTGAGTCTGTGATGGTCAACCTATAAAGAAAAAAGAAGCTCTTTCATACAAGATTGTGCCATGTCAGAAACAAATGGTCACCTTAGCTGCTAAGACTAACCATTCTCAGTAAAAGGTAAAAATCAAAACTTGAGGATGAGGCAAAGAAAGACATACAAGTCAGAGGATATTTTTCTTTGCTTCTGTTGTCATGGACTCATTTAATTTTGAGTCATAATATGTTCCCACATTGACTTAACTTTTGTGAATTTACTAGTTTTTGAGATGCTCAGTGGAGAATGTGCTTGAAAGACCTGCGGAGGGCTCGAACCCTCACACCCCGAATCAGGAAAGGTGGCCCCCCAAATCACTCACGAGAAGCAGTCTTGATGCAAAAGCATGAGGTATTTTATATTCCAGTGCACTGGGGTCTGCAGCCATACTCCATGTGGGGTAAAGGACTGGGAACCCTTGGTACAGGGTTCAGACAGCTTTTATAGGGTTACAACAAAGCCCGTGCATTACAAACCAATCATCTTAATAGCATCCAATGTGGACCAATCAATTTGAACTAGCCAAGCCCGCACTTTGCCCAGGAAGTCTGCTTTCGCTAGGGCTCCTGGGTAGTGTGGCACTGCTCATTTCCTGTTCTCATTCACTCACAGGTGCTGTCTGTGAACTCGCCCTGTCGTAAACAGTCAAGAATGACCTTTTGCCTACTCATTGCTAGAGGGCAGAGTCTAGGGAAAGTTAAGCTAAAATTTTCCATCCTTACATGCTCCTTCCAGAAGCTTCTCTAGACAGCTCAACTCATCCTAAGAGCATCACTAGACAACCATCTCCAACAATTCATCCTAAGAGCATCATTAGACAGCCATCTCTAACAATTCATCCTAAGAGCATCATTACTAAGGGCATTACTAGACAGCCATCTCCAACTATTTTTTTCTAAGAGCATCACTAGACAGCCATCTCCAACTATTTTTTTCTAAGAGCATCACTATGAAAGACCAAAAAGTAAAGTTAAATAAAGGACGGTCTAACCTGGAAAGCTAACCAATATCTGTTCCTTGGAATTTGCTAGCTTTCTCTCACCAGGCCCTGGGATGACAAGAATTCACACTGCCCCTCCTTTCTGCCCCTCCTTTCTTGTGAGTCAACAGGTGGTAAATAGGATCCTTAGGAAACAAAGAGATAGCTGTAACTCTGGTTTGCCCAGACAAGATTAATTAGCACACCCCTGAGGCCCTAAGGTCTGCTGACCCTAATAGCGGACCATCCGGCCTCCAAGGGTCACATACTTAATGGACGGAGGGTCCCACCCCCTCCCTAAGCTTGTGGGTTTGCCTTTAAAAACACCTGGGCCCAGGGGAGGAGCCCGTTTGCAAAAAAACGCTTCCTGTTCATTAAAGCCTCTTGCGTTTTTGCAGCAACTGGACTGGACATTGAGTTCTTGGGACATCAACCGAACCTGGAAGACTCCTCATTCTAAGGGTCTTACAACTAGACAGCCATCTCCAGCAATTCATCCTAAGAGCATCACTACACACATCTTTCTAATTACGCAAGCTAAGAGTGTTGCCAGAAGCTACTTCTGCCTTCCATCTTGAGCATTTATTGACTGAACTACTTGTGAATTTCAGCTAGAAAGCCCTCAGTTTCTAAATTCATTTCTAGAGGATTTTCTACAAGCATGCTTTCAGGACATTCTTTGAAAAGCATTTTAAGGTTAAGCATTTTCAAATACACACAAATGCTCAACATACACACACCAAAAAAATAAAGGAAGGAAAGTAGGAAGAGAGGGAGGCAGGGAGGGAAAGACAGAGAAAGAGGAAGAAAGAAAGAGAGACAGAGGAAGGAAGGAAGGAAGGAAGGAAGGAAGGAAGGAAGGAAGGAAGGAAGGGAAGGAAGAAAAAAGACCAAACAGAAAGCGAAAAAACCTGCCCAGGCTCTCCTGTACTGAAATGATGCCTCCTGTGGTCCCAAGAACAGTGCAATCTCTACTACTCATTTCACCCTTGGAGGAGGCAGGGAGTGGGGTGAGGTGTTCTGGGAGCTAAGCTGCATAAACAGGAAGAGAGAACAACAGCTCAGGGTAAAGTGTATATCAGGGTCATTTGCACCTTCTGGGCTTCCTTTTACACTGTCCCACAAACTCCACACAGACAAAGGCCAAACTCCGCCTCAGCCCCGACCATAAACAAAACCCCTGGGGGTCTCTACCTTCAGAACTTTAACCCAAGTAAGGGGGAAAAAGAGAGAGAGAGAGATGGATTTAAAGTTGCATGTGAATAGGAAAAGTGCTTAAATACCATACTGTTCAAGTGCTCATTTTTAGGTCATGGGTGTAGGGGAAATATTTCATTTCCTCTGCTTGGTGTTATATTGTGTTTATTTTTATAGAAAGTAACACTTTCAAGAAACAGTGGGAAAACACAACACAGGTGGGACCCACTTGCCTAAAAGTGTAGTTACCAGGATCTAGGTTCCCTAAGCGTAACACTGGGGCATCAGCCGGAAACACCTCTCCTAGGACAGGCCCGTCAACTTCTTCCCAGTGGTAACTCACTACCTTAGTGTCATCTGAGCTTCCTACAAAGATGAAGAAAACGACATCCAGAATGGGTTACAGGAACAGTGAGCTGAAAGCCTTACAACGTTGTGAAAACTCAAATGTGTTTGGTAGAAATATACATCTGCACAGATCTCAGTGACATACATTGTGCATTGCTGCAATCTCCCAGTTCCTAAACTGTCAGCACTGTTTTTCCAGACATGCATAGGCTTGAGAAGGGCTGTTATAACTGGTTGAATATTTAAAAAGCAGAGGGACAGGTACTGTAGCGCAGAATGCAATGCCTTGACATTCAGCTCCTACTTATCTTGGTGACTGGTGACATTCTGCCGACAGCTTTACATAGATATCTGAACTAACAGGTTCTTGAACACATTAAGAGCTGATTATCTACAATTTACAAAACCCCTTTACCATATTAATGATTAAAATATAAGCCCTGAAAAGAACTGGATCATGCATGAAAATGTACCCACTTAAAAGAACAAACCAGGGTAGGACTGAGAAGATGGCTTTGCACTTAAAGGCACCTGCCACTATAGTTGACAACCTGAGTTATGGTTGACAAGGTGGAATGGAAGAACTGACTGTCAAAAGTTGTTCTCTAGGACTATAATTCAGTGGTACAGTATTTAACTATAATGCACATAAAACCTTGGGTTTCATCCCTAGTGGTGAGAAGAGGGGGAGGGGTAGTTTGGCATGGTCGTTCATGACAATTCAGGAGACTAAGTCAAAAAGTATCTCTATGAGTTCAAGGCCAGACTGAACTACATAGTGAAACCTTGTCTCACAAACAAACAAAAAGACAAGCATCAAATTTATCTAAGGATATAAGTTAATATAGCCAACTAATAATCCTGTGTGATTTTTATAACTAAGATGCTCTGAATCAAAAGGTTTTCAAAAATTTGGACCTTTTCTTATACAATTGCTTCTATTTAAAGTGTTCTCTGTCTGCTAGGCATGGAGGCTCACAATCTATAACCAAGGGGCTGAAAGCATTACAGGGCTAAGGTCAACCTTAAGTACATATCTCACCCTAAAGAACATTGCATTTGTTTGTTGTTTGTTTTAGACAGTGTTTCAAATATCCCAGGCTGGCCTGGAACACCTAAGTAGCTGAAGGTGATCTTGAATTCCCTGTCCTCCTGCCTTTGCCATCCAAGAGATAGGATTACAGGCATGTAATTACTTCCAGCTGGGAGTTAAAGAGTCTAAAACAAGAAGCTACAAGAGACAGAGGTTCATCCAGATTTAACAAGTGTTCTTGGCCTTGACACAGAGTACTCAATCTCACAGTACAAGCAAACGGAAACCACCCAAACATGGAGGATACACACGGCTGCCATCGAGGAGGGCTGAGGTCAAAGGCACAGTGAGTTCCTGTATCTGTGGAGAAACAACTGCCACAGGTGGCTGGTTGACTCTTGCAGCTGTGGGACAGAAAAAAACAGACAGCAATTAAACCAACGTCACACACAAACAAAGGCATCCTTTCTAAAGCTTATTCTGAACATCCTGTAGAGGCTCCCTGGGTCTCAACTGTGGAAAACTAAACTTTTATATCCCCACCCATGGATTTTGAGTCTATCTGTCAATTTACATAACTATAGATAATCCTGGGCTCAAGAGCTGAGTCATAGAATGTGTACGGTGATTACAGAAAAGGAAGTCTAGATTGCAGGGCCTTGAACTCAAGCTCCTCTGTCTCCTTCATGGCAACAGAACTCTAACTAAGACAGTGTCTAAGGCAAAAATAGAAGCATATGTATTAAACATTATCAGGTCCAAACTCCAAAAGGCAGTCCAAATATCCAGAGAAGAGCTCAACTAGACTACAGGAGGATTTCTGGTGGTTAGATAAAAGCCAGCATTCCTCAGGAATTTGTGGAGCTAGTTCCCTCTTATCAAAAGGAGTCATTTCCCCTACCTCTGGCAGAAGGGACATATGGCTCCCCTGTGGTGCCTTTCCGCATATCAAAGCCTATGCTGGCTTCCAGGCTGCCTCAGTATCACTAGAACCTTTTACAAAGTCCACGCTAGCATCTAGCCCTTCTCACCTCCTCCCCTGCCCTAAACTCCCTTCAGTTCACTGCATTCCCTCACCCAGCTACTCCGTCTCCTTATAACCTTGGTATTCTTGCTATGTTCTCTCTATTCTTTGTCCAGTGCTAATCTCCCCTCTCTCACAGACAACCCTGGCAGTGTCCAGTCTGCGGGTGATGTTGTATACTTCTTTCTCTTTCTGCTCTGGACTCTTCCAGGTGCCTCTGACTGTTCTTCCCCCCCCCCACCCCCATATCTACAATGGAAACCTTCCCTTTAACAATACCATGGAGCAGTCATGTCATCAGTTTGTACAACCATGGCATCCAGGTGCCAGAACAGGTGCTAGCACAGCCAAAAGGCCATTCTCCCAATGGAGTCCCAACCAACTCACCTGGCAGAACAGTGACATTGACATATCCTTCTCCAAATGCATTCTCACTAGAAACAGCCACTCTGAAGGCATACAGTCCCACAGATAACTGCAGTGTGAAAAAAGACATAGGGGAAAACATCTAAAGACATGGGAATCTACCTTCTAGAATAGTGTCCCAAAGGCTTGGGAGGAAGCCTCATTTCAGCCTGTCTAGGACAGCTATAAACGTAGAGCTGCACTCTAGGATACATAGGCCATTTGCTTAGTTACAGATGTCACAAGTATTACATCAGCCTAGGACAGCTGCTCTTGGATGAGTATGTATGGAATTGTGCTCTATTTTGGGTTTGGGGGGTAGTGCTCAATGTTGAAAGTGAGCCCAGGGCCTCACCTATGTTCAGCAAGGTCCCTACACTGATCTGCACTCCAATCTGGAATCACACATTTCTAACATACAAGTTCACAGAGTTACTGGCAGAAGTCTGGGTGCCACGCTTTGAGAAACAGCTTAGTCGTATGGCAGTGATGTGAGCTTGATATGGCCTTGCAGGAAGACATTCACCTGATAAGAAACCAGGCCCCAGGATATTAAGTCGGTGTGTTCTTGGAGCCAAGGCAGTGACATGTATCTTCCTGCGTGTGGAGCAGTATCTGGCAATCTAAGCAACTTGTCAGCTAGAACAGAACTACTGGAAACTCAGAGCATGCCTGGTGGACACCTGAGATATCTTTAACCCTGTAAAGACTGCAAGAAGTAGAATCTAGACTTTGAATCCACCACACAGTGTGAGCTCCTGAGCTAATAGCATGCCAAGCAATTCAACCGAAGACAAGCTACTGAATGTCTCACTTAACCATCCATCTGCCTAGTTGAGCTTTATTTATAACTTTCTGATTTTCTTTTGAGACAGGAGATCTGACTATTTTGCCCAGGCTGGCCTTGAACTTCTGAAATCAAACTATCTTCTTGCCTCAGTTTCCCAAGTAGCCGAGACTGCAGGCACAATTGCCATCATGCCTAGCTTCTTCATTAGTTTTTAGTCCTAAGAGAGAATTTGGGGCTCAACAGCAAGGATGTTGCTAACTAGAGTCTAAGGTGCACAACCTGCCTTGTTACTTACTTGAGAGAGATGAAGAATCGGCTTGTTTCCTTGTTTGATTTCACCTTGAAAGTCATCAGGGTGGCTCATTAAACTCCATTCATAGCTGTAAGTTGTGTCTGAGAACAAATCAGAAACAAGAACGGTTATCGGGTCTGAGATAACCCTAAGGAGGAGAGAGCCTTAAACCAACAAGTACCAATGGCCTTCGATACTCAGAGGTCTGCTTTCAACCATTATCCCAGTAAGGAAACACAAGGTCTCTGTATCTTTGCAAATAAATCACACACACACACACACACACACACTCACACACACACACACACACACACACACACACTTTTATCGTGCAAGTATACAAATGCTAGAAAATAGAGGCTAAACATTAAACCTCCACAATCTCATGGTTAACATTTGAAAACCTTCCTTCTAGGTTTTTTCTGACACCTCATTATCCATATAATTCCTTTTTTTTTTTTTAATGGACAGGCTGTCACAAGCTCTGGCTGGCCTGGAATTCGATATGTAGACCAAGACCAAGGTGTCTTCCAAATCACAGAGATCTGAGTGTCTGAGTGTCTCTGCTTCCCTAGTGCTGAGATTAAAGCCATGCAAAGGCATACCCACCTCTACATACACCTAAATGTATAATCCACTGTATCTTTTCTCTTTTCAATGACATTTATAGGGGTTTGTTAAGGCACAAAGTTACTTCATCATCTCTATCTTGAACTAAAGCTGTCTGAAGCTTTTAGATGGCAGTATAGTATCTCGTCTCATCTTAAGGGACTGGGATGCAAATGACAGGCATGAATGTCTCTGATTACAAAGCTTTGACCCATTTGACCTGGATGAGAACCAAATACTTTAAGAATGGTCTAATTAAGGAAGAGTATACTGATAGGCTATAGAAATGACTCAAATGCTCAGGAATAGTGGGGCACTGGGTAAGAAGAAGGTAAGCATTGCCAACTTGGCATTACATTTAAGTTTATGAGTGTGTATTTTATGTGTTTTTATATGTGTTTTTTGTGTGTGTGATATGTGTGTACCATGTGTGTATGTGTATGATATGTATGAGTGTAGGTGTGTGTGTACCATGGCACATGTGTAGAGGTCAGAAGACAGCCTCAAGTGTTGACCCTCTACTTGTAACTTGTTTGAGATGGGATCATTGGGCATTCTCCACTGCACAATGAAGGGCTCTGCATGGATTCCCGGAGGCACCTTGAGCAAGCCTGAGGCTGTTGGCCAGAACTCCTTGCCCCAAAGTTGTTATTGGTACTCTTCCTATTTCGATAACACACACCTTGTGGGGAGGAGCTAAGCTTGAAAATCCTGTTATTTTCCACTGTGCTCTATTTAAGTCCATTACATCCCCTCAATAAACGGCATTCGGCATTTGGCATTCCAACATTGCCATTGAACGAATGACCAGCTCGCTGTCTTGTCTCTTATTTCAATCTCTAGTCCTTTGCCCGATTTGTGGAACAGATTATAGCCTAGCTTTGTCTCCCACCTTGCCACAGGAGTGCTGGAATTATAGGCGAGCTACCACATCTGACTTTCTATCAGTTCTAGGGATCTGAATGCAGGTTCTCAAGCTTGTGTGGGAGGTGTTTTATCCATGGCACCTCCCTAGCCTATGGACATCTTTTGAGCAGCTGCCCTGGAATATTGTGAGAATTGCTGAGCTGTGTTTCTAATACTACAGCATCAGCAAGCAAGCCCACCATGCATGTAACTGGCTCCTCACAATGGAATCTTCGTGACTTCTGTGGGTTTCACAGATCGAGATCTTGCAGGTGGCAACCCCTGCTCTCTCGTGTCATAGTGTGATCTTCCAGTGTGACCAGTTAATGATGCACTATACTGAACTTCCCAGACACCTACTGCTAACTCAGTAAACTTTGGCCATCTCCTACTTCGGAATGTTGTAGGAAAGATGCATCAAGCCTAAAGCCTGGGAGACCTGGGAGAGAACACAGGAGTCCCACCAGTCACTGAGTTACCTAAGAATGTCAAACTCTCACCTGCAGGGGGCGCTGGCTCAACAGAGGCCTTCAGTTCTGCTTCACAGTCTGGTAAGGTTATCACAAGGTTATCTCCAGCAGACACTGCCAGCACCTTCACTAAAAGTTAATTAGAAACAATGCATGCCATTATGTGATACAATGTCTCCATAATATTATACCTGTTCTTAGAATGATCATTCCTCATATAGTTTTATCTAAGGCACCCCGCCCCAGGCTAGTGCCCTCTGTTATGCTGCAAGACAGACTTTGCAAATTTAAAACTTCCTATATGAGTGTCACTGTGAAGAAAATGACCATTCAAAATAAGCCACGTGTGGTTGCCTGACCCCTGGTGAGTGGTCCTTACTTACAAATAGGTCAAGAGTGCTCATAGGTCATTAGCCATGCTGCTCAGATCCGGGTGCCTCATAAATGGCTGCTAATGACTTTGCTCTTGGAGTCTTTCCAACAGGAAATCCAGGCAAGCTCCGTATGAAAAGATAATTTAACTCCAGCAGCAGGGACATTAACTCTTATCAAAAGCACTTTCCTGATAATTCAACAAAGCTCATTTACTGTACCACCTGAATAGCACCGATATAGTCCTACTATGGCTTGTCTCAACTGGGTACTAGTTTCACTGTCATTCATATTTAGTTCAGAATAACCTATTTAAACCAAGCTTACCGAGAGCTGAGAAAGGCTGTGCCATTCTCAAAGACACCCAATATTCCCATATCACCATTAGCAACCAGGGACCCAATCCCAGGGCAGTTTCTCTTCCTCACACAGCTTCTCTTTCACCACAATCCTCTCCTCACTGAAGTTCAGAACCAAAGTCAGTAAGAGTGAAGATGGAGAAGCATCAGGGAACCAGAAGTGAGCAGCGCTGGTTCAGGGGCCACTGGAGATACACGAGTCAGGCCTCAAATGTAGCTGAACCTTTATGTTTGGAGTGGTGCTATTATTTGAGACAGAATCTTATGTAGCCCAGGGTGGTCTCGTACTTCCCATATAGTCAGGATTGATCTTGAACTCCTGATCCTCCTGTTTCCGTTTCCCAAGTGCTGGGATGACCAACTTGCACCTCCACACTCAACTACGGTTCAGTCTTTGAACCAGGCTGTAGCTACAGCCACCCTCATATTCCAGTTGACACTGGAAGCATCAAGCCCCACTTCTGAACAACTGATCTGGTTTTAGTTTTTATTTAATTTTATTGTTGCTATAACAAAATCCCCGATAGAAGGAAATGTTATATTTTGGCTCACGTGTGAGGGTACACTCCACCAAGGCAGGGAAGGCAAGGCAGTGGGAGACAGTTCAAGACAGCTGACCACACTGTGTTCACACTCAGGAAGAAGAGAGCGCTCACTTTTTCCTTTTCATGTCATGGAAAGGTGCTGCTCACGGATGAGGTCTTCCCACCTCCGTGAACCCAATCTAGATAATCCTTCCCATCCTGCACTCCTCTCTTGCCCCCTCCACCCCCAAAAACAGTTCTAGCCAACTGATCTCCCTCTGGTTCTTCCAAAATGTTGTATAAGTCTTGTCCTCTCTTCTACACACGATGGTGGAGGTTCAGAGAATAACAATCTCAAGACTAGTGATTTCCCATGGAGAGAAGCTGTAGAAGCTACAGAACATTGCAGGTTCTTCTGACCTGTTTCTCCTGCTCGTAGTACCAGGACAGGTTTCTGCAGGTCCCTATATCCCCATCAAAGACACCCCCATAAAACACAACTGCCTTGTTTTTTTTGCTGAAAGTTCATTAACAAGAAATACGAAACACTCGCTGCTAGTGTTGCACAGGCCAACTCCATGTGAGCTGGCTCACCCTAACCTGCCAGGCCCTTTTCCAGAAAGGTTTCCTGATTCTCCTGGTGGGTCAAGTAATCTTCTTCTGCTGCCACAGCATCCTCTGAGCCATCTATCCACCTGCCAGTCTCCTCTCCTGCTTTTTAGAGCCACAGAGGGAAAAGAGGGAACACCAGTCATCTTTTCACTCTGGTTACATAGAATGGTATCTGGGGCCAAAGGGAGCGGTAAGCCTTAAACACTGTCACTGCTAGATTCTGCCTCTGTGGTAAAGTTCTCCTCACTGTATTTTTCCAAAGTTACCTGTCCTGGAAGAAGTAGTGGGTGACACAGACCACGCAGGTGGCGTCAACCCAGGGAGAACTGTACTGGTGGGAAATGTTGGGGCGCTGTGTTCTGTGCTTCGTGGAGTGATTGTAAGAACGGAGCTTTTCTCTACCATGGCTGGGCTGGACTCCATGCTGGCAGTGGGAGGACTATGTGAAGACATTAGAACCTGTGGGATAAATTAACAAGGGTATATTGTTATGAAAAAAAATGTTCATTTTGATGGAACAACACAAATATGGGCAGTGGATTGTTCGTGCTGACCCTCTCCAAATTCATGCACTGAATCATACTCCCATGGCATGGCTTTTGGGTGAGGGGGAGGCAGAGTAGGTGGTCAAGTCATGAGGATGAGAACCCTCATGAATAGAATCAGTGTCTTCATGACAAGACAGAGCTCAGCGGTGGTACAGGCTCTTAATTAGAGCATCAACAGCTGAGGCAGTAGAAATGCTGGTTTTGAGGTGAACTTCAGCTATGCAGCAAGACCTTGTCTCAAAGAAAGAGAAAATGAGGCCAGGGGAGGAGAGGAGGAGAAGGAAGGGGACAAAGAGAGAAGAAGGAAGAGAAGAAAGCAGAAAGAGGTAAGGAGGAAGGGAAGGGTGACATGTGCTTTACTCTCCACAAGGCTGATCTTGATAGGTTTTCTATAGATGGTCTATTCAAAGATGCTGTGGCATGAATAGTGCTGCTATGTCACATGGGGAGATGCATGTATTCCTCTTAAGTGCACACTAGAAGTGCACCTGCTGGGACACATGCTGGGGTGATGATGTATATCATTGCTGAAGAGCTGGGAATAGCAAACCAACTTCCCAAGGCATCTGCAACTCTGTGCACTCCATCCGCCTTGTATGAGCACTGCAGCTTCTCTACTAACACTTCTTACTTCTAGTCCTGCTGCTGCTGCTGCTGCTACTGCTACTGAAAACACTCAGGGCTATGGACCTTGAACTACTACTCTTCACCCCAGTCATTCATATATATATATAATTCTAGCCATCCTGATAGATGTGAGGTAGTACTACATTTTGTATTCAACTTCTTTGGCATGTTTTATTTATCGAGAGTGCTTGGATTCTAGACACGCACCACCATTCGTCCTTTACCGACTTTTTTAGATCAGATTGTTTTCTTATTGTTAAGTTGTAAGACTTATTTACATTTCTGCATATAATGTTATGGCATAAGATTCACAAATATCTTACCCCATTCTATAGATTGTCCTCTCTTTCTTGATGTTGTTATTTGGGATGCAAAAGTACTTAATTATGATTTAGTGAAATTTATCCTTTTTTAAATTTTTACTTCTTTTTGCTTGCTTGTTTTGAGACAGGGTTCTCTAAGTAGCTCTGGCTGTCCTGAAACTCACAATGTAGACCAGACTGGCCTCAAACTCACAGAGATCCTCCTGCCTCTGCCTCCTGAGTGCTGGGATTAAAGATGCACAGCATTGTTTTTGCCAAATTTTGATACCCTGTACAAAAAGGTAATTATCTAACCCTAGTTACCAAGGTTTACTATTGTTTTAACTCTTATCATTTAGGTCTTTGGCACATTTCAAGATTTTTTAAAATATAAAATGTAAAATAAAAAAAGCTATAACTCATTCTTGTGCATGTATTATTGGAGCTTTGAGAATGATAACACAAACCAAATGCTTCAAAAGCCAAGTTTCCCTCTGGCTTTCTCCTGTGCTCATTCTCAGCAAGCCACAGAAGCTAGAGGTCCTTTTTCCCGATTTGTCAAGAATCTTACACACTGTTTTCCTTTTAAAATTCTTCAAGGAGCTAGGAGGAGCTCAGTCATTTAGCATGGCCGAGGCTGAGTTGTAGCTAAAGATAGCATGAACCAGGGGAACCCTGCAGTTCCAGTGCTCAGGAGGCAGAGGCAGGTAAAACTCTGTGAGTTCACAGCCAGAGACCCTGTCTGCAAATAATTCGATAAAATAAAATAAAAATGGGAATTCTGAAAGTTCCCTATGTTCTCCATTCACTTCTTCCCAACTCTGTTCCGATCACCGCCAAGCTCCAGATTCTTACATTCTCTTTAAGACCAGCGGTCTCTCAACCACGTAGACGCTGAGACCTCCAGCACTTCTGTCTTCACAGGATTCATTCCCTGCTTTTGCCATTTCTACTCTCCCCAGTGACTTTGCCCTCCCCCCACTCCCTCCCTGCACACTTTTTAAAGTGTTGGGAGATTCATCCCAGGGTCCGGTGATCCAATGTTCTACCACTGAGTCATTGTACCCCTATTGGGTTTTCTTTCTTTCTTTTTTTTTGGCAATGGATCTCACTGGCAGGCCTTGACCTCCTCCAGTCATGGTCCTCTTGCCTCTGCCTCCTGGGTAGTTGAGACTACTTGGGAATTAGACCCTCGTTCTTTTCCCACCAGGGTTTTCATGGAAGTTCTGTGATTCTTCCTACCTATCAGCTTCACTGTGTCTCTGGTACCTTCCTAGTCACCTAGTTAAGTGGCAGGGCTGACTGTGGTCGAGTGAAACTTCACATCTGTCTACCACTGGAAATTTTCAAAGTCTCCGTGGTGTGGGTGTGGGTGTGCGCACGCGTGCACATATATGCTGGTTCCAGGGCCTTCTGTGAAGTCTTCGTTAACATCAATTAGCCATAGAGAATCTAGAAGAAAGGGCTCTTGGGTAGATGACCTGGGAAGGGGCAGCTCTGTGTCCATTTCAAACTGCCTGCTTAGAAAAACATGGCAAAAGAAGGCTATGTGTTTCCGGCTAGGCTCTGACATTCATCCTCTGCTTCCTCAAGCCTGAAGGAATCTGGCAGAGCCTAGCCATTGTGCCCCTTCCCTTGCCCACCCCAACACGTCTCGAGCACACCCACCTCTTTTCCAGAGCTATTGCTCCGTTGTTCTTGGAGCTGTAAAGTCTCTGTCTGTGTCCCCTCTCCTGCAGGTAAAGCAGTCACAGAGGGGAGCTGCACACTCTCTGCAGAGTGCAGGGGTGGCGTAGGGGACCAAGTGGACTCATTCAGGGCCTCCAGCTGCCTCTGGTCCAGTGACTCGGGTGTGGGGTCCTGCAGCTTCTCTGTAGAAGCAGCTGAGCTATCTTCTGCAGCCGAGACATTGGAACCTCCCTCGCTGCCTGGCAGCAGGCTCCAGTCAGGGTACTCAGCGCTGCCTCTGGGGTCCTGTGGGTTGGAGGGCTGCGGGAGGCCCTGCTCCAGTTCCTTGTAATCATCTGAGTACTCAGCAGTCTCTTCCGGTCCCTCATCTTTTCCTAGAAAGGGCAAGTCCTTCCTGAGGTCCTCAAGGGAGTCCCCCCAAGCTCCAGAGGGGGAACCCCTGCCCAGCATCATGTCTCCGTAGTCCAGCAGCTGCTCCGGCTTCTGGACAGGTCTGTGCACGAAAGTGAGGTAAGACCGGACGGGGCCTGTCGTCCTGGGCTCGCAGTTCTCTGGGTGCATGCAGTTTACTAGGTAGCAGCTGCCCTCAAACCACCAGGCCAGGTCGCAGCTGGGCAGGTCACAGCAAGCGGCCGTGCAGTCTCCCACGGAAAAGGTTTGAGACACCCGCATGATTCTAACAGTTTCCAGGTTAGGTGAAATGATGGAGTTGGAATAAGTCCTCCCCTCGCTGCACTGCTGGCACCTGCCACCTGAAGACCAGAGAGGCACCAACATTCAACACCAAAGGTCAAATTGGTAAGTAGACAAACTTCAAAAGAAGAAACACAAATGCCCAATAAGTATAGGAGAAAATATCCAAGCCGCACAGTACACCTTTAATTCCAGCACTTGGAGGACATTCAGAAGTTCAAGGACATCCTTGAGAGCTGGAGGCCAACATGAGTGAACTACATGGGACTTGGTCTCAGGAAACAAAACGAAACTGAAGTTCATATGCAGAATCTAGATTTAAAGACATATGTCATATATGCACATGTTCATGCTATGAAAGTAAAAGGGAAACTATAGGAAGAGGAAGGTTCTGAAAGGAGAGGCAGGGAAGGCTCATAGAACATCATGCTTTCCCTGGTTTATGTGTATAGATATATGTGATATGAAAGAAAAAGCATGGGCTGGAGAGGCTGACTCAGCAGTTAAGAGCACTAATTGCTCTTCCAGAGGACATGGGTTTAATTCCCAGCACCCACATGACAGTTATACAACTATCTGTAACTCCAAGATCTAACTCCCTAACACAGACATACATATAGACAAAACACAAATGCACATAAAAAGTGTGGGAAGCCACAGCCCCAAGATGGCTTCTGGCTGGATGCCAGGTAGTCAGAGCTTAGCTGTAAACAAGCCTTATTTGGAAGTGCTTGATGGATCTGGTGCCTTTCCGGGATCGCCAGGTGGCATGAGCTGATTGGGCAGTGAGCGCATATTTAAGGGCTTGCTGGGGCTGGGGGAAGCAGAAGCTGATGTACAAAATTCCTGAATAAACTGCTTGAAGAAGAGTCGTGGTCGTGTTTCCTTGCTGGCCAAGGTAGACACGATGAAAAAGAAAATAAATTATTAAAGAAAAGAAAAAGGAAAAGCACAATTTTGAGGGAGGGGGGATGGGAGAAGAAACTGGGCTACAACAATGTGTATGAAATGTCACAATGAAGCCTTTTTAAAAAACGATTTGTAATTATTTGTTTGTGCAAACACACACACACACACACACACACGTATCACGAAGGTCAGAGTTGGCTATGGGAGTTGGCTCTCTTCTACCATGTAGGTGTCTCTCTCAGGGAATGAACTACTAGGTTATTGAGTTTGGCAGCAAGTTCCCCCTCAACCTGCTGAGCCATCTTGCTGGCCCAAAGTCTATTTTTTTTTTTTTTGCACTAAAAATGCTATGTGTATGTATGTATGTATGTATGTATGTATGTATGTATGTATGTGTGTGTGTATATGTGTGCATGTGTGTATGTATGTATATGTACATTCCAGAGAAGTCACTCCAGAAAGCCAGAGGCTCCCCATCCCTAGCTGTGCAGCCAGCCATCAACACTCCCTATTGAAGGGTCCACTGCATGTCTCATCCACACTGTCACCTGTCTTTCTACTGGTTCATCCATTTGTCACTACGCTTATCCACCCACCCACTTGTCCACCCAATCCTCTATTCCTCTAATTTTCTATCCACATATATTCTTCCAACTGTTCATGTACCTTTTATCTATGTATCCTGTTACTTCATATAATTCCATTCTTCTTTACTTGTGTCTCCTTTTCATGTAACTCACTTACATGAAACTTATATAACTTACAATAGCCCTAGTGTAAAAAAGTTGTTAGAGAAATAACAGAAAAGCACTGTATCTTTGGTTATTAATAGATTTTTTTTAATTCCACAAGCTATCTGTGATAGATCATCTGAAAGGAAAATGTCTAAGGAAGTACATATCTATAATCAAGTTTTCATTTGTTTGTTTGTTTTGAGATGGATCTCATTATGTAGTCCTACCTAACTTGGAACTCACGGAGATCCATCTGCTTCCCAAGTGCTGGGATTAAAGGCATGCACCACTATGCCTTGTTTTATATTCCACTAGTTTTGGTTAAATTTTCAATAACGAGCTATCAATCTTTCTGAAGAGTCACTACAACAGGCATTGGCAAGTGTTTGTAGAGTGTGGTCTGTTAGTTTTAGTGTCAACAATAGAGGAAAACCCCAATAGCACAGGATTTCCTTCCTAGTGAGGACTCACCATTAAAATTTATTTTACTAAATGCTTTTTAGTCACAAGAGGGCTGTCAGACATTGTTTCTAACAGGGAACATGTGAAAATGGCTGTATGATGTATAGAAATACCTCTATGTTACCTGTACACAACATCGCTGTGATAGATTTTTACTAGGATAATGTTAGCATGGTAGGTAGCTTGATAGTCTCATAACACAATGCCAGAGCCAGGAAGACAGCTCAGTCAGTAAAGACACGCGCTGCCAAGACCTGGACCCACACGGTAGGAGAAGAAAACTGATCTCTACAAGCTTGCCTCCACACACATGCCATGATACTTGTGCGTGCATGCATGCACATGCACCCGTGTCTTGTGCGCGACGCGCGCACACACACACACACACACAGAGGCACACACATCAGTTCTGTAGAAAGACGATTCCATCCGAAGTGAGAAGAATTAGATATACCATCTATGTTCCTTTTCCAATTAAAAAAGCAACACAAATCTAGCTTTCAAACACATGAATAGTTTTGGTCTTTTTATTTTTCAGAGAAAAGCTAGATCTCAGACATGGAGAAAACACTAATTTACTATAGCTGAACACAACAAAACAGCCCCCCTTAAAAAGATCAAGAAAGGAAGGGTGAAGCAGAGAGGTATGGTAACACCCAACCTCTCAAACACATGGTATTTTTATGGCTACCATTGCATCTCTCCGTAATTTATATGAAGACCTAATCCCTGACCCACATGGTCAGATGTGCTTTCCTTCCCTTGAAGGCATGTGTCCTGTCCAGCAGCTAGTGACTCCGAGCAAAAGTTCCTGTCCACAGGAGCCATGGGAGCTGGCTTTTACAACTCTTCCAGGAAACAGTGATGTCCCCTGGTAAGGGTTTCCTACCTGTGATGGTGAACAGCAGCGACAATAAGCACAGTGCTCCTGCTGGGGACACCATTCTGTCTCATAGGACGAGGCTTCCAAGGCAGTGGATTTGGAACAGGCTCCCTTTGATGGTTGATGAGCCAGATGTAGCCTCTAGAGCTTCTAAGAAAACAAGACGGAGACAAGGAATAAGAAAGGGGTAGGTAAATGAGGAAATATGTTGTTCCTATCATTTATGTATGTTAATAGAAAAACTGTCCCCATTCACAGAGTGGAGATGTATCCAAAGCAGCCATCTCTCCAGAGAAACTGGTTAAAATAGCCAGGACAGTTAGTTCCTATGAAGATATAAAAAGAAGAAGAAGAAAAAATCCGGGCATAGTGACACATACCTTTAACTTCAACACTCAGGAGGCAGAGGCAGGCAGATTCTGTGAGTTTGAGGCCAGTCTGGTCTACACAATGAGAGTTACAGGACATTCAGGGCTAAATAGTAAGACCCTGCCTTGGGAAAACAAACAAACAAGAAAATAAAACAAAACAAGCAAAAAGAATGAAAAGATGAAAGGTTTTATGTCAGCTCACCCTACAAATGGCAGAAATAAAGACCAATCAAGTAAGAAAAGCAAGGCTCTATATTCACAGTGTGTCGTGGCACTACAAATTGGCAGAGACTCAAGGGCAAAGGACTGGCAACTCTGTAGTGGATAAAGGGAAGGCTTCAGTGTGCTTGGAGAAGAGGCTGCTGCTGCCGGAAGCCACCTGACTAACTACAAGTGGAGTATCCCATGATTGGTATGGGGAGCTAGCTGTACTGGATAGTTTTATGTCAACTTGACACAAGTTGTCATCATCTGACAGGAGGGAGCCTCAATTAAGAAAATGCCTCCATCAGGCCGATCTCTGTGAGCTGGAGGCCAGCCTAGTCACAAAGCAAGTTCTTGGAGAACCAGGACTGTTATACAGAGAAACTCTTAAAACAAACAAACAAACAAACCAAAAAGCAACAAAAAAACAAAACAAAACAAAGAAAAAAATAAATGCCTCCATAAGATTGGGTTGTAAGCAAGCTGGTAAGGAACTTTCTTTTTTTTTTTTTTTTTTTAATTTTCTTCCTTCCTTCCTTCCTTCCTTCCTTCTTTCTTTCTTTCTTTGTTTTTTTAAGACAGGGTATCTCTGTGTAGCCTTGGCTGTCCTGGAACTTGCTCTATAGACAAGACTGGCTTCAAACCCAAAAAGATCCACCTGCCTCTGCCTCCCAAAAGCTGGGGTTAAAGACATGTACCATCATTGCCTAGCCAAGGCATTTTCTAAATTAGTGATTGATGGGGGAGGGCCCATTGCATTGTGGGTGTTGCCATCCTGGTCTGTTGGTCTTCAGTTCCCTAAGAAAGCAGGTTAACAGCCGTGGGGAACAAACCAGTAAGCAACACCCCTTAGTGGACTCTACATCAATTCCTGCCTCCAGGTTCCTGCCCTGATTTCCTTCGATGATGAACATTGATATGTAAGTGGAAGCCAAATAAACCCTTTCCTCCCCAACTTGACTTTTGGTCATAGTGTCTCATGGCAGCAATAAAAACCCAGACTAAGTCAAAAATATACTAGCTATTTTTGGTTGGTCCCAAAGGAAAAAAGAGGTTAAAATTTAGGGAAGCTGTCAATTATTTAAGTCCTGCCTACTTGCTGCTAGCTTCTGTACACACTATTACTTAGTCTCATGAAGTACTAGAGATGGTGATCCAGCTTCCCAGAAATCTCTTGGCAGACTGGCTTCCTGTACTTTATAGATAAAGAACTGGGTTCCTGGGCAGGTTTCCATGAGTTGATGAGTTGTGGGTCAGAGTTCTACTTTTATAAATGGTTCAACTACTGATATTTGCATCTTCAATGTCTCAGAGCCCATATGCCCTATTCTCTCTCTCTCTCTCTCTCTCTCTCTCTCTCTCTCTCTCTCTCTCTCTCTCTCTCTCCTTGGTTTTTTGAGACAGGGTTTCTCTGTGTATAGCTTTACCTGTCCTGGAACTCATTCTGTAGATCAGGCTGGCCTCAAACTCACAGAGATCTGCTTGCCTCTGCC